AGAGGCTTAAAGACATGCTCCTAAATAATCAATAGATCAATGACCAAATTAAAAAAGAAATGAGCCTACACATGGAGACAAATGAAAATTATAGCACAATACCCCAACTTTTGTGGGATGCAGCGAAGCCACTTCTAGGAGGAAAGTATATAGCAATTCAGGCCTATTTAAAGAAGGAAGTACAATCCCAAGTGAACAGTGCAAATTCACAATTAATGAAACTGGGAAAAGAAGAACAAATGAGGTCCAAAATCATTTGAAGGAGAGACATAAAATAGATCAGAGAAGAAATAAATAAAATTGAGAAGAATAAAACAATAGAAAGAATTAATGACACCAAGAGCTAGTTCTTTCAGAAAATAAAGAAAACAGATAAACCCCAAGCCAGACTTACCAAGAAAAAGAATTTACACACATAAACAGAATCATAAATAAGAAAGGAAAAATCACTATGGACACAAAAGAAATACAAAGAAATATTAGAGAATACTATGAAAAATTATATGCTAACAAACTAAATAACCTAGAAGAAATGGACAACTTTCTAGAAAAATACAACCTTCCAAGGCTGGCCCAGGAAGAAGCAGAAAATCTGAACAAAGCAATTAACAGCAATGAAATTGAATCAGTAATCAGAAAAATACCCAAGAGCAAAACCCCCAGGCCAAATGGCTACACCGCTGAAATTTATCAGACATTTAGAGTAGACATAATACCCATTATCATTAAAGTTTTCCAAAGAGTATAAGAGGAGAGAATACTTCCAAACTCATTCTATGAAGCCAACATTACTCTAATACCCAAACTAGGAAAAGACACCATAAAAAAGAAAATTACAGATCAATATCCTTGATGAACATAGATGCAAAAATCTGCAGCAAAATATTAGGAAACTGAATTCAAAAATACATAAAAAAGATCATCCATCATGATCAAGTGGGATTTATTCTGGGGATGCAAGGATGGTAGAACATTTGAAATCCATCAACAACAAGAAGGACAAAAACCACATGATCATCTCCATAGATGCTAAAAAAGCATTCAACAAAATTCAACACCCATTCATGATAAAAACTTTCAACTCAATGGGTATAGAGGAAAAGTACCTCAACATAACAAGGGCCATATACGACACACAGTCAACATCATACTTAACAGTGAAAAACTGAAAGCTTTTCTTCTAAGACTGGGAACAAGACAAGGATGTCCCTTCTCTTCATTTTTATTCTACATAGTACTGGAGCTCCTAGCCATGGCAATCAGACAACACAAAGAAAGAAAAGGCAGCCAGATAGGCAAGGAACAAGTTAAACTGTCACTCTTTGCAGATGACATGATATTATACATTAAATATCCTAAAGAATTCACTCCAAAACTACTAGAACTAGTATCTTATTTCAGCAAGTTGCATGATACAAAATTAATACACAGAAATCTGTTGCATTCCTACATACTAATGATGAACTAGCAGAAGAGAAATCAGGAAAAACAATTCCATTCACATTGCATCAAAAAGAATAAAATACCTAGGAATAAACCTAGCAAAGTGAAAGAACTATACCATTAAAACTACAAGACACTCGAGAGAAATCAAAGACACCAATAAATGGAAATACATCCCATGCTTATGGGTAGGAAGAATTAATATTGTCAAAATGGCCATCCTGACCAAAGTAATCTACAGATTCAATGCAACACCTATTAAAATATCAACAGCATTCTTCAGTGAACTAGAATAGTTCTAAAATTCATATGGAACAACAAAAGACAAAGCAATCCTTAGAAGGAAGAATAAAGCTGTGGGGAGTGCGCTCCCCAACTTCAGGCTCTACTACAAAGTCACAGTAATCAAGACTTCTTCGTACTGGCACAAGAACAGAGCCATAGATCAATGGAATAGAATATGGAGTCCAGATATAAACCTACACATACATGGCCAATTAATACATGATAAAGGAGCTATGGACATACAATGGAGAAAGGACAGCCTCTTCAACAACTGGTGTTGGCAAAACTGGACAGCTATATGTAAGAGAATGAAAATGGAGTATTAATTCCATACACAAAAGTAAACTTGAAATGGATCAAAGACCTGAATGTAAGTCATGAAACCATAAAACTTTTAGAAGAAAACATAGGCAAAAATCTCTTGAATATAAACATGAGCAAATTTTTCATCAACATACCTTCTCAGGCAGGGGAAACAAAAGCAAAAATGAACAAATGGGACTACATCAAAATAAAAAGCTTCTATACAGCAAAGGATATCATCAGTAGAACAAAAAGGCATCCTACAGTATGGGAGAATATATTCATAAATGACATATCCAATAAGAGGTTAACATCCAAAATACATAACGAGCTCACATGCCTCAACACCCAAACAGCAAATAACCCGATTAAAAAATGGGCAGAGGATATTAACAGACAATTCTCCAAAGAATTTCAGATGGCCAACAGGCACATGAAAAGCTACTCCATATCACTAATTATTCAGAGAAATAGAAATTAGAACCACAGTGAAATATAACCTTACACCAGTTAGGATGGCGAACATCCAAAAGAGAAACAACAACAAATGCTGACAAAGATGTGGAGAAAGGGGAATCCTCCTACACTGTTGGTGAGAATGTAAATTAGTTCAATCATTGTGGAAAGCAATACGGAGGTTCCTCAAAAAACTCAAAATAGAAATACCATTTGACCCAGGAATTCCACTACCAGAAATTCATGCAAAGCAAGCAAGATCACAGATTCAAAAAGACATATGCACCCCTATGTTTATCACAGCACTATTTATAATAGCCAAGATATGGAAGCAACCTAAGTGTCCATCAGTAGATAAATGGATAAAGAAGGTGAAGTACACATACACAATGTAATATTATTCAGCATAAGAAGAAAACAAATCCTACCATTTGCAACAACATTGATGGAGCTAGAGGGTATTATGCTCAGTGAAATAAGCCAGGTGGAGAAAGACAAGTACCAAATGATTTCACTCATATGTGGAGTATAAGAACAAAAGAAAACTGAAGGAACAAAACAGCAGCAGAAGCACAGAACCCAAGAATGGACTAACAATTACCAAAGGGAAAGGGACTGGGGAGGACGGGTGGGAAGGGAGGGATAAGGGCGAGAAAAAAGAAAGGGGGCATTACGATTAACATGTATAGTGTGGAGGGGGCACGGGGAGGGCTGTGCAACACAGAGAAGACAAGTAGTGATTTTACAGCATCATACTATGTTGATGGACAGTGACGGTGAATGGGCATGTGGGGGGGACTTGGTGAAGGGGGGAGCCTAGTGAACATAATGTCCTTCATGTAATTGTAGATTAATGATACCAAAATAAAACTAATAAAAAAAAAAGAGAAAACAAATCCTACCATTTGCAACAACATTGATGGAGCTGTAAGATATTATGCTCAGGGAAATAAGCCAGGCTGAGAAAGAGAAGTACCAAATGATTTCACTCATCTGTGGAGTACAACAACAAAGCAAAAATTAAAGGAACAAAACAGCAGCAGACTCACAGAACCCAAGAATAGACTAAGTTACCAATGGGAAAGGGACTGCGGAGGGTGGGTGGGAATGGTGGGATAAGGGGATTAAGGGATATTAAGATTAGCACACATAATTTAGGTGGGGCATGGGGAAGGCAGTATAGCACAGAGAAGACAAGTAGTGACTCTATAGCATCTTACTATGCTGATGGGATAGTGACTGTAATGGGGTATGTGGTGGGGACCTGATAACAGGAATGTAGTAACCACAATGTTGCTCATGTGAAACCTGAGCATAAGATTGTAAATCAGTGATACCTTAATAAAAAAAAAAAAGAGAGAGAGAGACACAGATACCGAGGTTTCCAACAGCCTATGAAAAGAATTTCACCACTTCCAACAGGAAAACAGAATTACAGTAAACAATGAAAATTGATAAAATAAATATGAATATGGCAAATATAATGAAGTATCAAATATCCAATCAAGCAAAGGATCTGAAGGAAGTAAACAGAAAACTTATGAAGAAATATATTACACACTTGCAAATAAAAGGTATAGGCTTCTACAATGGCAATCCTTAAAGCATCTCAGAGTATCTAAATGTAAAATAATCTCTAGGTAAAACTGCTAGGTTAAATTTTGAAATAATTCAATCATTTGCAGATGCAGCATGCAACTGTGGTACCAAAAAATGGCAGATCAACAGAAGATGGAATAATTCCATCTGATGATTTATGGGTCCCCCATTTAAAAAAATACCACTTTTTTCTAAATATGACACTATGATAAATGCTCAGAAACTATAAAATAGAATATGTTTGATTAACTGATAGTTTTTGACCTGTATTCTTATGAACAACTAAGTGAGCTAAATGTGGAACTAAAATCATCACCAATATGGTCATCTGAATGAAAGATATTCAAACATTTGAACTTTTTATGCTGTCCAGTTAGGTAGACAAGTCCAATGTAAACCCTAAGTATCTTCTTTTGATTAGGAAGATAAGATAAATACAGGCTATGATAAAAACCACAGTACTCATAATTTAGTAGATCAAACAGCAGAAATGGAAATAAATGGGAGATTCTAGAAAGCAGACTGTAAAGCAATATGGAAATTAGGTCTGAAAGTCAGATCTATATAGTGCCATTCTCTCACTTGGTCCTCAGTCCTTAAAACGGGCCAAATTTCCTATATTACCTTCTGTGCTTTAGATACAGAAACCATCCATTATTGAATTTTTGGTTGGGAAGGTCTCTATGTAAGTATCACTTATAAAGTAGGAAAGATAGATAGGAAGAAGGAAAAGTACAGAAAGCTTGGGGCATACTGTGCGGATCTGAAGATGTTATAAATAGGTATTTAGAATCAGAAGTTATGTTCTAGTACTTTTTTCTACCAAATGCCAAACACACTGATACCATTTCTCCTATTTCAAGTCAAGGCAGCATATCTCCAGAGCTTATTTCTTTTGAGAGCATACATCCTACCATGTGGAATTGTGGTCTGGAAAGGGCGACTTGGACTTTTCAGGTTCCATAAAGTCAAGCTACCATCTGAATGGCTGCACATGAATTGTTTGCCTTCATGATGCCAGTCAATTGAGTGAATAGCCTAATGAGACAACAGTTAAAAACAAGTAGAGGGGGGAAAAAGTCAATATGTCATATTTTATTTATTCCAAAAGAAAAACATTCTGACATAAAGTTATTATGGCAATAACAGTTAAGAAATGTATAATTTTTCTGACCCAGATTATTCTATCTTTGGCTTCAATTCTGTATAAAATTATAAAAAGCTACAGAAACTCATCTCTGGAGAATAAGAAAAGTTAAGTAAATTTGTAATATCATTAGATCCAAGAACTTTTTGTTGTGAATTATATGTCCTCCCTGCATCCTATAATGCTTCTTTGAAAAGGAATTCATATAGAAGTAAAAGCAAGCTTATAAGAAGATAATTTCTGATAAGGGAGAGGCCTAATTCCACTTAAAGTAGACAATTTAAAAAATAATTTACATAAGTGCTACCATCTGAGGGCTCACCTTGTGCCAGACCCCATGGTAAACACTTTTTTACATTATTTCATTTAATCCTATAAAACAAGTAGTATTTTTCCAAATTACACATGGTGAAATGGGCCTAAGAAAATGGAAATTCTTGCTCATGTCATAACTCAAAGCCAAGATCTAAGTACAAAACCCATATTCTCAATCACTGTACCATACTGCCTCTAAATTATACTATTTAAATTGACTTAAAGCAGGTGAAGTTTAAAATATTTTTTATATTTACAGGTTCACTCTGTAGATGTGAATTAAAGAAAAGAAAAACACAATTATTCCATTTTCCTGAATTGTTTTATTCCCATAGTAGCACAGTGTCTTACATAAAATAGGTACTCATTAAAATATCTATTGAATGACTAAGTAATGTCATCACATAGTTTCAGTCTTGGTATTCTTTCTAAGTTAATAAAGTATATCCATATATATACAACTTGGGTAATGTGCTAAGCAAAATGAGAGAAGCTCTAGTAGACATAAAAGCGGAATAGATGTATGTAACGTGATTCTTTCCTTAAAGGGATTTAAAAATCTACAAGATAGAGAATACTAATATAAATAAGTATAAGTAATACTTGTCATTTGGAACTTTTAACATTAAATTATATATGTGTGTGTATTTTAACCTGTTATATATATACTGAATTAAGATGTTTAGAATTTCCAAACAATAAGTATTATTATAGTTACAGATAATTGATGACTAGGGTAATCATTAGGTATATCAAAAAAAGAAACATAATATGATCTGTACCTCAAGATAAATAAGATTTGCTTAAGTGAAAAAGATAAATGAAAAACCCTGGACTTATGTTTTCTCTCACCCTGGTCTTCATTACTAGGCAGGGAAGACTTCTTTTTGCCATGGTTCAGTAGAGGCATGAAGAGGGAAAAAACACTCTGTCTTCTCTGCTTATTTCTTCTCATTTTTGTATGTAGGTGGCTCAAGGGAAATGTCACTTTTTGCCTCTTCTACATGTTAACTTGGATGAGCCTCAGTCAACTTAAAGTTCTCTCAGACTGCTTGGCTGCAAATAATGGGGGCAGAGAAGGCATCCCCAGCTCTAACCCTTCTTCCTATCCCACTGATTTTTCTACCTGGTGGAGAAGATAGATGTAAAAATAACAGGTACAACACGAAACCAAAGTGAATAATGTAAGAGAAGTACATTTGTTGTACAAAAGAGTAGACATACAAAATGAACTTCTTATTAGAGAAGAGGATGTCAAATATTGCATTATTGAGGAGCTGGCATTTGAACTGACAATGGATAAGTATTTCATTTTCATTTATTGATTATAGCCTTCTCCTTTCTTTAAAAAGAACCTTAAGGGTTTATTGAGAAACCAAATATAATACAACTAATTCAAAAAGAATTTTGAAAGATAAAAAACACAATATGGAAGATAAAACACTAGCCAGTTTGGTCAACTCAGTGGCTGTGATTTACTTTGAAAACTGAAAACAAAAAAGAAAAAGGAAACCCAAAAAGCTGGATTACAGTCTGAAAAAGGGAAAAATAGCAGCTACTCAAGGAATTAAAACGTTATCCTCACGTGAAACTCTGAGGAATTTCTCTGTGAGAGATTACTTAAGAAATATTGATGTAATTAAACAAAAATTCACAGTTAATGTGGAAGTAGACTTCATTTATTTATTTCTAAAAAATGACCTTGGATTTATAAAACAAAACTGCCAAATGATCAATGGCTATTCATCAAGAAGCCAGTTAGTTCAAATAGCTTTACAGTGACTAAAAAATTAATTGGACTTTGATATACAGAAGAGGAAAGAAGGGAATTCATGATAAGGAATTAGAGCAAAGGCTTGGAGGTAGGAAATAAATGGTATGTTTAGGAGATAGTGAGTAGTATGTCCGACATGTGAGGAATGTACAGAAGAATGCAGTACATTAAACTAAAGGAAAAAGCACCATGGCCTTAAATCTCATGTCAAGGAATAAAGAATTTGTACTGTTGACCATTAAGAGCCATTCAAAGGTTCTGAGAGAATTACATGATCTTACTGTGTCTTAAATGATTATCTTATTAGTGAAAGTTCTACTGAAAGGTAAGATATCAGAGTAAATCTGATTAGTTAAAAGGCCATTATAGTCTTCCAGGAAAAAGATAACAACCTAAACTAGCACACTGAATGTGGGAATGAAAAAAGAAGAAATAAATGAGAAATAATATCAAAACAAAATCAAGACTACAAAATCAAGAAATAATATGAAAACAAAATCAAGATATATGAAAAAGAAGAAAGGGCCAAATATGACTTTGATAATTCTAAACTGAAATAACTTATTAAAACTTAAAAACTGAAAAAGAGAACATAGAAAGAAATTTAGGTCTTTAAATATAAATTCAGTGCCAATGGGATATTTATATGGAATTATCTAACAGAGTGTTAGATATTTTGATCTCGAGTTTAGGAGAAAGGTAATAAGGGCTAGAGATATATAGATTTTAAATTTATTAGCATAAAGGTAGTATTTGAAATAATGAGAGATATGAACATAAATGTAAATTGAAAGAGAAACATAGAATCTTGAGTATAATTTTAAGGAAAGAATCAAAGATGGAAAGGGAGGGGTGAAAATGAGCTAGAAAGATACAGATAAGGGAAGAAACCATTTTAAGAAAGAGGCTGATGTAAAGGTATAGCTTTAGTGAGGAACTTAAAAGACTAAAAAGGAGGTCACCATCTATTTGAGGAGATAATTGTTGGTTTATGAGAAATCTCTTCAGATAAGTATTATGAATTATTTCTAAATATGAGAAGTAAAGTGCTGAAGAAAAATTTTAAAGTTTGGCAGTAAAATTAGTATATAGCTATTGCTATTAAAATGATAGGACATATAATCATGCATTAAAGTAAACATGATTTATATTTACAGAGATGTGCATATATATATGTTTCATATAAATCAATAGTTAAAGTGATTTCTAGGTACGAAGTACATATAGTACTCTACTGACTTACTTAAATATTATAATCCTTATTGAAACATTTCATTGCAAAATTAGTTTTTCTTACGTTTTAAGGTTAGAAACCTTCCTCCCACACTTTTTAAGGCCACAGGAAAACTAGCCGATTCTGCATTTTCCTCTGGGTATTCCTTTTTAGCTGGTCTACTCTAGTTCCAACAGGCAAAATACCCAGATGGTATTTGGACTCTTATCTAACTGTTGATCTCCAAAAAGGAAGCAGTCTCCATCCTCATCTTTATATTTTGTGTATTTAACAAAAGGAATATCATAGCTTAACTCCCTAGGGTCTTCTTTCCTTATGATTCAAGATGCCCTGGAAGTTGATCATGAACCGGATAATTGAATAACATCACTACCAGAGTATTTTTCACCAATTATGACCAAATTACCTAGCTGTTATATTATTTACTTCTGAACTCTGTCACTATGTCAACTATCTTGTATATAACATAAAATCTTAGTTCGACAGAACCGCTAACGTACAACTTGAGGTAGGGGAATGGAAGTATGGGATAGCTGAAGGGTTAAGTTTGTAAGCACTAAAATTTTTAAATTTAACTGTTATGAGGGGATCATAGGGAGCACACAAAGGAGTATTCTAAAAGAAATGTGTGTGTGTGTGTGTGTATTTTAAAATTTCTTTTTCAATTTACCTCATATTGTCTTAAATTCTATGGTACTCTTCCCATATAAGCGTGAATGAAACCAGACAGCAATTTTTGACCTATATTTTCTTCCTACCTCTCTCTACCCTACCATTTAAAAACCTTAATTGAGAGCATAGATGATCACCTTTATTTCCACAGCTATAAGAGGTAATCCTCTTTCTTACCTTTCCCCAGCCTCTCTTCACATTAACTTCCTCTGAGTGGGAAAATAATAAATGGACTATAATCAATCTTAGGACAACCAAAATATCAGTTCTGAGACTATTCCTGATAAACTGAAGTTTATTGCTTTCTCTAAATGAAAACCTAATCAAGTTCCAACTACGTGCAATAAAACATACTTCAAGATTTTATTGATTCTTAGTATTAGAATTATCAAAATCTCTTCAAGAAGGCAAGTTTAGAAGATAAGGCCTTTCAAACTGACCATTTAAACTTTCTGCACAGAAAATAATTTTCTAAGGAAGGTGCAGTGTCTCTTTAGAGATCTTAAGAACAATGAGGCAAGACATATCCATGGAACCTAAAGGAAGAAAAAGGATAGATAACAGGTACTAACATGTAAAATGATGCCAAAAAGGCCCCAAATAGTCAGTCAAGGCAGAATTTCCACTCAGAAGAGCACCCCAGAATTGGAACATGTGCAAATACCAACAGGTAGTGTGAGGCATTGGGTCAGAACTGGGCAGTTTTCTGATGATAAAAAATTGGTAATTTTCCAAATTTAAAAGGAGAAACCAGGCATATAGTCACAAAACTCTTTCAAATATTTCAGTTGAAAACACTTACCTCATCATAATAAACTCTCAGTTCTGCTCTTTTACATTTCAAGTCCCAGAATACTACAGTTCCATTTTCATAACCTATTAGTAGCTGGAAAAAAGAACAATCATTTTTGTAATTCTAACATTAACCTGCTTTAAATAAAGTTTAATGTTGATACAATAAAGTCATACTATAATATACAACTTTGTTCAGAGTAACAGTTTTTCCAGAATCTGAACATAGGTTTCCTACTTTTAAAAAACTTGGCAAATAAACTCCACCCCAATATAAACACTTACAAATGAAATCTGCCCTATTCCAAAGAGAAATTGAGGAAACGTGTGAACTTATATGACACAATAAATAAGAAAATTGAAACCAAAGAAAAATGGGATAAGAAATGAAGATGATATAAAGAACGAAATGGTATAAGTTTAATAACCATGTATATGCCATTCAGTTCTATGCACTTGAAAAGTGTGACCATAAATTTGGCTTCAAATTTCTTTTCTTTTTTTTTTCTTTTGGTATCATTAATCTACAAGTACATGAGCAACATTATGGTTACTAGACCTCCCTCATCATCAATTCCCTACCACATACCCCACTACAGCCACTGTCCATCAGTGTAGTAAGATGCTACAGATTCACTACTTGTATTCTCTGTGTTGTACAGCCCTCCTCGTACCCCCACACACATTATGTCTGCTCTTTGTAATGCCCCTTTCCTCCCCTTGTCCCCCACTTTGCACCCACCCTCCCCAGTCCCTTTCCCTTTGGTAACTGTTAGTTCATTTTTCGGTTCTGTGAGTCTGCTGCTGTTTTATTCCTTCAGTTTTTTTCTTTGTTCTTATACTTCACATATGAGTGAAATCATTTGATACTTGTCTTTTTCCGCCTGACTTATTTCATTGAGCATAATACCCTCTAGCTCCATCCATGTTGTGACAAATGGTAGGATTTGTTTTCTTCTTATGGCTGAATAATACTCCATTGTGTATATGTACCACATCTTCTTTATCCATTCATCTACTGATGGACACTTAGGTTGCTTCCATTTCTTGGCTACTGAAAATAATGCTGCAATAAACATAGGGGTACACATGTCTTTTTCAAACTGGGCTGCTGCATTCTTAGGGTAAATTCCTAGAAGTGGAATTCCTGGGTCAAATGGTATTTCTATTTTGAGTTTTTTGAGGAAGCTCCATATTGCTTTCCACAATGGTTGAACTAATTTACATTCCCACCAGCAGTGTAGGAGGGTTCCCCTTTCTCTGCATACTCGCCAAAATGTGTTGTTATTTGTCTTTTAGATGTTGGCCATGTAACTGGTATAAGGTAATATCTTATTGTGGTTTTAATTTGCATTTCTGTGATGACTAGCAGTGTGGAGCATCTTTTCATGTGTCTGTTGGCCATCTGAATTTCTTTGGAGAAGTGTCTGTTCAGATCCTCTGCCAATTTTTTAATTGGATTATTGATTTTTGTTTGTTGAGGTGCGTGAGCTCTTCATATATTTTGGATGTCAATCCTTTATCGGATATGTCGTTTATGAATATATTCTCCAATACCATAGGATGTCTTTCTGTTCTATTGATGATGTTCTTTGCTGTACAGAAGCTTTTCAGCTTGAAATAGACCCACCTGTTTATTTTTGCTTTTGTTTCCCTTGCCCGGGGAGATATGTTCATGAAGAAGCCGATCATGTTTATGTCCATGAGATTTTTGACTATGTTTTCTTCTAAGAGTTTCATGGGTTCATGACTTACATTCAGGTCTTTGATCCATTTTGAATTTACTTTTGTGTTTGGGGTTAGACAATGATCCAGTTTCATTCTCTTACATGTAGCTGTCCAGTTTTGCCAACACCAGTTGTTGAAGAAGCTGTCATTTCCCCATTGTATATCCATGGCTCCTTTATCGTATATTAGGTTGTCCATATATGTTTGGGTTAATATCTGGACTCTCTATTCTGTTCCACTGGTCTGTGGGTCTGTTCTGGTGCCAGTACCAAATTGTCTTGATTACTGTGGCTTTGTAGTAGAGCTTGAAGTTGGGAAGCAAGATACTGCCTGCTTTATTCTTCCTTCTCAGGATTGCTGTATCTATTCGGGGTCTTATGTGGTTCCATATGAATTGTAGACCTATTTGTTCCAGTTTTTTTGAGGAATGATTTTGGTATTTTGATAGAAATTGCATTGAATCTGCAGATTGCTTTAGGCAGGATGGCCATTTTGACAATATTAATTCTTCCTAGCCAAGAGCATGGGTTAAATTTCCATTTGTTAGTGTCTTCCTTAATTTCTCTCAGGAGTGTCTTATAGTTTTCAGGGTATAGGTCTTTCATTTCCTTGGTTAGGTTTATTCCTAGGTATTTTATTCTTTTTGATACAATTGTGAACGGAACTGTTTTCTTGATTTCTCTTTCTGTTAGCTCATCGTTAGTGCATAGGACAGTAACAGATTTCTGTGTATTACTTTTGTATCCTGGAACTTTGCCGAATTCAGATATTAGTTCTAGTAGTTTTGGAGTGGAGTCTTTAGGGTTTTTTATGTACAATATCATGTCATCTGCAAATAGTGACAGTTTGATTTCTTCTTTACCTATCTGGATGCTTTGTATTTATTTGTTTGTCTGATTGCTGTGGCTAGGACCTCCAGTACTATGTTGAATAACAGTGGGGAGAGTGGGCATCCCTGTCTTGTTCCCAATCTTAGGTGAAAAGCTTTCAGCTTCTCGCTGTTAAGTATGATGTTGTCTGTGGGTTTGTCATATATAGCCTTTGTTATGTTGAGGTACTTGCCCTCTATACCCATTTTGTTAAGAGTTTTTATCATGAATGGATGTTGAATTTTGTTGAATGCTCTTTCAGCATCTATGGTGATGATCATGTGGTTTTTGTCCTTCTTTTTGTTGATGTGGTGGATGATGTTGATGGATTTTTGAATGTTGTACCATCCTTGCATCCCTGGGATTAATCCCACTTGATCATGGCATATGATCCTCTTGATGTATTTTTGAAGTCGGTTTGCTAATATTTTGTTGAGTATTTTTGCATCTATGTTCATCAGGGCTATTGGTCTGTAATTTTCTTTTTTGGTGGGGTCTTTGCCTGGTTTTGGTATTAGGCTTCACATTTCTTTATATCAAATCCTATTTTTGTCTGATTATATCAGCCTTGGTGATTTATGAACCCTTAGAAGCTCACAAAGTTATTCTAGACATTCACATCATTAAAAATAGTTGATATTTGTTTATAAATCAGTAAATAAGACAAGTAAAATTTATGTTCTTCATTTTAAAACAAATATGTGAGAACAGAATGATTATTAGATCATGTTCAAGATTCATTCATTCAGCTAAAAATTGCTAGCCATGCTGATAGTTTTACTATAATATGATTCTGAGTTATTATTTTTAGTTACATTTTGTTAAATTTAGTCTATCATTGGCTTAAAAAACAAGGATAAAAATAGGCCAATGTTCAAATAATAATTAATAATAACACTAATAATAATAATAATTTCCCATGAATTTGCCTCACAATGATTTTCTTGAAATCCTTAAGTAGTATTCCTCTGATGAAAATTCTTATATAGCACATAAAGATGTTTCAATAATTCCAAAAAACCAATGGCCAAAAAACATAAAATATAGTAGTGGTTATAAGTTATTCTTATATAACATTCTGATATCTAATCATTTACCTCAGCATTTCCTAACAGAACACAAAAAAATAACAAAAATAAACCACCTAGTAGTTTTAACAGGAAATTTTAAAATTTCAAAATCTAGATCATGAAAGCAATGTATACTTATTTTTGAAGCGATAACATATATTTAAATGTTTATCCTGAACCACACACAATGAATTTTAAAATGGATTATACAAAATAATTGAGCTTCTTAAGTGGGCATATGTAGAGATTGGTGGATGAAGAGGCTGCAGAAGGGCTGAATTGGCTGAGAAGCAGTGTCTCTGAGCAGAAGTGAGTGGATGGGGTCTAGGCCTTCCTCCAGAACAGAGGGTAGTAATGCAGAAGGTGGGTGATTTGGGGATTTCTGCTTGTGTCCCCATCTTGGGAGCAGTGTCTGGAAGCTCTGAAAGGCACTCAATGCAATGTTGTAGTTAAGAGTAATGCTGTGGTTAAGTGTGCAGGCCCTGGAGTAGGCAACTTGGGTTCCTATTCTGGCAGCCTAGCTTAAGAGTCATGTGGTCTTGGGCAAGTTGCTTAACCACTAGGTATCTTAATTTCCTCATCTGTCTAGTGAGGGTTAATAATAGACCTTAACTGCACAGCATCATTATAAGAATTAAAGAAATACATATATGTATTAAAGCAGAGCCTCAGACACACACACACACACACACACACACACACACAAATTAAGCTTCTTTATATACAAAATTGAAATAAAGTAAATGGCATGACTTGCTAAATCTAAAAGGTCAAAATTAAGTGTAACCTGTAAAGAATATTTATTAAAAGTTATACAAAGTCATATATACTTTACTAGGATGTGTTTTAATTTCAACCTTTTTTACATGCCAGAGAAAGTGATGAACCATTAAATGAATTCCTACCTATAGAATGTATGAGAAAAAATTTCTATAGAGTGTATGGAAAGGAGTTTTCAAGTTTTTAAATCTAAGAAGTTTGGAAAAAGTTTCTGACTTCAAAAAATGAATAATATAACCTTTCAAAATTTAAGCCCCAAGTTGTAATGAAATAACATTTTAGAATGTTATATTTTTTCATAAAACATCTGATAGTTCTTTTGTTTATAAAATTACTAGCAATAACTTCAGTAAATCACAAAATACAAACCTCAAAATGCCATAAATTATGGAGCTAACAAGATTATAATATAGTAAGAATGAAAAGATATTAGAATCACTTAGAGAAACGAGAAAGAGAAAACCAACTCCTGACATCTAGGAGACATCAGTCAAGGCCACTCTGTAACCATGATGAGACAAAAAAAAGTTCACTCTGCAATCACTTGTGACTATACCAAAACATGAACACTGTTCAAGCCACAAACATATTTTATATATATATTATATGTGTAATTTTATATAGTTACATATCTTTAAATAATTATA